GTAAAATACTTGGGTTGGAGATATTTTGACAAGATTGGGTTCGATTTTCGGCCTTGTTGGATTTGAACTTCGCTGACAAGGGAAGTGCCCCAGGTGTTACATCCAGATTTTGATCATATTTTGGGGATCTCTTCTACTATACAATAGACTAATTTTCCGCGTAAAAGATTTTGCTGAGATATATTACAACGGGTTTTAAACCTAGGTCCAAATTTTCAAAATCACTCAAAAATATTTTTTGACCAAAAAGTTTCTAAATGGCCTTAAACGTCCAAAAATATGATTTTTTTCGATTTTGGAGAAAAAATTTTTTTTGTCCTCACTAAAGTCCAAAAACTTGAAAAAAATTCAAAATCACATTTTAGACCAAAAAGTATCCAAATGGTCTAAAACGTCCAAAAATATGATTTTTTTTTCGATTTTGGAGCAAAAAATTTTTGTCCTCACTTAAGTCTAATAACAGGAAAAGTAGCGATATTCATCGGCAACTTTGGCCCGTCCCGTACATTATGAAACGTTCAAATTTCGCCTATGTTTGACCCTGACGGGAATTAAACCTGAGTCTGGGGTTAAAATAAATGTAGTTTTCGTCATCAGCACCCTCAAAAGCATCTGAAACAATGCGAACACTCGAATAAAAAGAATGTTTAAAATATACCCCACTGGGATTTAAACCCCGGGGTCCAAACTTCTCCGATTTGCTTGAAATTGGCACCATTGGTTTGTCTTGTCACCCTGATTCCAAAAATACCCCTACATGCCCTCCTAGCTGTATCCGTTGCCGAAATCCTCCTCGACCCCATGTACACCATGATGCAACTGCAGCAGCGCCCCCGGGGCTCGGATCGGATTTGCTGCCACCGGGCGGTTCTTAGGGTCACCCAAGGAGGCTGCATACCAAATTTGGTCAAGATCGGACCACGGGAAGTCCTCGGACGGACGGACGGACAAACGGACGGACGGACGCACAGCAGGGATCATACTACTGTATATGCCCGTCCCTCCGTCATTTTTTTACAAAAAATAAACGGGACGGGCCAAAAAATGACGTAGTTGAACATTGCGTACCATACCTCAATTATTTTGTCAAAATCTTGTTATCTGGCTTTCAAGTTTTTTCACGAATATTGACTAACGTCAGAACAAAAAGATTCTCCAAACGCGAATAAAATCATATTTTTAACGTTGCGGATCTTGGAGACTATTTGGTCAAAAATGTATTTTTTTTTTAATTTTTAGACTTAAGTGAGGACAAAAAATTTTTTCCCCAAAATCGAAAAAAATCATATTTTTTGGGCGTTTTAGACCATTTGGAGACTTTTTGGTCAAAAATGTGATTTTGAATTTTTTCGAAGTTTTTGGACTTTAGTGAGGACAAAAAATTTTTTTGCTCCAAAATCGGAAAAAATCATATTTTTGGACGTTTCAGGCCATTTAGAAACTTTTTGGTCAAAAAATATTTTTTGAGTGATTTTGAAAATTTGGACCTAGGTTTAAAACCCGTTGTAATATATCTCAGCAAAAACTTTTATGCGGAAAATTAGTCTATTGTATAGTAGAAGAGATCCCCAAAATATGATCAAA